TCATTATGAAAGTACTATCAGACGGGTACTTGAGAGATTGAAAAATTGAGTTTGTCCTCCTTTATCTCATATGATTTGATAATGATTCAAATGATTTGAATCACTGTGGGTGATGTCACTGTGCATCATGATCTATTAATGAATTGATTGTATTAAAGCCACATACTGATTTCGTTGACTATGGTGAGTAAGAGTGAGTTCCTGATTTTGGTAGACCCAAACAGCTAATAGGATTTGCTTATCTTATCATTGCTATATGATAGATGCTGTTAATTTATTAATTTTTAGTTATCAGCTTTGAAAATGAACAACGGAAGAATTTTAAAATTCAAGCATAAGCGGATCATTGCTGCTGCTGTTATTCTTCTAATTAGCTTTGCTTTATCTCTTACAAGTCTCATTGATGGAGGTAAGTCGAATCCTCATTCACTGCTACATCTATCTATCATCTGCATCTTATCTAGACTGGGCAGTTGTGAAGACTGACAATGGAGTAAAGCACAAAGGAATTTGCTGTTCTAATTATGTAATATTCCATTTATAGACAGATTTTTGATTTTACAACTCAATTTTCAGGGCAAAGTAGTATTTGAACATCTCATAGCAACTGATCTCTACTTAACATGTGTTTTTGAGCTTTTATGTATCTATCGACTTGTAATCATCTGGTTTGTATATGGTTTTTCATTCAATCATTCAATCCATGCAGGTTTCAAGTTGCCAGGGATAAGTTTGAGAAAGGCCTCTTCATAACCTATGTACTACAGCTTACTGCTACAATCTGCATATGTATTATTAATTTAGCATCTTATCCTAAGTTAATCAGTAAGACACCTCGATACTATAATGAACCAAAGGTCTACTTCTATTCTCAGTTTCAGTCTAACAATGCACTCTTTCAGGTATCATTATGCTACTGGCTTATGATTCCTATTATGATTTTACATCTGATAGCTATAGTACTGCTGTGCTTAGCATTTCACAGCTTTCACAGTAAACGCTCTTTCGAGAATTTGGTATTTTCAATTTTCAGCAATCAAATTCATTTATATTTTCAGTCTTTCAAGAAGCTTTTATTCTGCTTAAACACATGATCAATGGTTGAATCTACACCGAACGATGTAAGTCTTCTCGTACGAATTGTAATCTCAAATGATAGCCAACTGTATGCTCATACCTTGACTTTCATTACTAAAAAAAGGAATAATCTTATATAATGTAAAATATTTTTTTTTGTTTTCATAAACATCTTGTATATCATCTCATTCACTTGCTTATTATGAAAAACTGATAATAATAGATGTCAAATAGAAAACTAATGGGGACATGCCGGGAAGGACAAGAAAAAATGATTGAAATAGCTTATATTTTGTGAGAAGACAAACCAACCGCTCGGCGAACGATACGAAAAACTAAAATGATTTTCTTACGTTTTTCATTTTGTATCTTAAGATAGCCAGCATAGCGGTCGTGCATGAGTTCTTATTCGGTCAACCAAGCAATATGCAACAATCGTACATGTGATTCAAGCTAAGCGTGGACGCTAATTGGTCTCAGTAATCATTTGTAGCTCATTTTTTGTGGTTCCACATGATTCGTTAAGAATACTCGGAAGTTCCACTATGAATCAATGACATGGTAGTAAAGTTGCGTTTTAGGTGTTCCATAAGAACATTGTCATTTTAGGCGTATGAGCAAGAAGCTTTAGCAATGCTAGCTTATAGCTAACATGTCTTATGCTCAGCTGACGTCGAATGGTTCGTTTGACGTCACAAGCAGTTGAAACTGAGCCAGCTTATTAGTCAAGCAATTACTTTTCAAACGGAATGGCTAGATAGTTATTAATATTTTTATTTTCGTTGTTATCTTCAACCCTCTAAGAAGCTAAACCACGCTTCGCGCATTTCACGTGGTCAAACCATATGTAGAACGTTTACTTTACTAGCATTCAGATAGAAAATCAGACCAAATATATAGAAAAAAAAAGTGATGAGAGAGACTATGTTCGTGGAAAAGTAAGCAGACTTCTTGATTTGATAACAGCCAGTAGAATGGTTTGGTGAGAGGGGGGGGGGGGTTGTCTTCCGTTCATTGTCGTCATCACGACATCTCAAAATTTTGTTAAGGAAGTCAGCACGTCTTCAGCATCGTCACTATCATCTTGTCGTTATCATCGTAAACGTTACCATTAGTAGTTTAATAATATAATGTTATATTTACTATTAGTCTTTCTACTTCCAGCCTTATCATATCAGGTTAGATATATTAATAGATGTAATGGAGATATCATTTGATCTCTATAGGATCCTCCACATGTTGGTCGCTACTGCGCTTCATTTCGGGTGAATTATGAATTCTACTGTCACGGAATATGGACAGATTCTAAATTCATGGATATTCTGAAGAGTCACAGCTTAAGCAGTGTTATGAAGTTTTGTAAGAAATTCGAAGGAATATGTGTTCATAGAAACGGGTAGGTTCATTCAATTCTGTTTAAGCTTACTGTAATGAGACTATAAGCTTCTTACATATCTCATATTGAACTTCATAATCTGTTTTTCTTTAAATTTAGGAAAAATAAGGAGAATTTGGCTCCTGTACGTAGAGTATCTGAGCAGGATATTAGAAAGAAGATGAAGAAGATGTCATATGAGCAAATTTCTAGCCGTGTATGTACAGCCTTGACTATCTGACTTTTTGATCTCTTTCTACCCAATTAAAGAAAAAAAGATGAAAAATTACAAAAATTTATTGAAACAAGCAGATAGATAGCATATTTCTATGATAATTATGTTATTTGCAGCTATCGCAACTAATACCCTGCACTCCCGAATGCGATCAACGTGAGTACTCTCATTGTACCAGGGATTGCAAATGTGATTATGATTATAAGTTTTGGTTACGATACTGTGATCCAGCAGCTACTAAGAAGCTCGAAATAACTTGCAGGTATAGTTATTTTTATAGTTTACTTAAATGATATCATATAATATGAAATTGAAATGCGATCGGATGTGTTCATGTGACGTCGAAAGAATGAACGTTCAACCAAATGCATCAGCAGACAATCTCAAAACTGCTTCATTAGCATAGTATGTGGTAGTAGTACGGTAACAGTAGTACAGTACTGTGCAGCATGCTGATGTTGTAACATTAAAAAGTAAATGATGATGAAGCATTACATTCAGTCTCAAGGCGTCTCCTTTGTTTTTGATACTGTCTTCTGAATCGAATGTGAAGTTCAAAGACAGTTGACCTCCATGGGTACATCAGATGTTAAGGGGGTATGAATGATACATTATGAACCATATTGACAGTATAGAATGCTTTCATGAATAATGTTGAAGCAAGTATTTCCTTCCGTCTTTTTTCATCATATACCTATCTATATATAGAAATCAAGTTGATATCATTCTCGCTGCTACGATGATAGTGTCTTCTTCGATTTTTCTTTTTTTTTTCATTTCTTCTATCAGTCTCTTATCATTTTCACTCCATGCATAAAGATGTTTTAAAGTTATGCAAAGCTTTTAAAAGACAAAAATTTTTCGTTTTTTTTTGTCTTTTTCTTCTCCCTTACTTCTATTCATTTAAGATCTTTTCGTTCATTACACCAAATGACTGATAAAGGTCGCTGTTCTGTCTTTTGAAGACACATCGTTGAACATGGCAAAAGCTATTCTGATGACTTTCTAGATGATAATGAACTATTCGTGTGATGATACATCATCATCATCATATGGAATGATCGTAATGGAAATAAATGGTTGAACACATGACTGTATGCTGATCGCATAGGTATTGAATATGCAGATGGATACAGTGAATTCGAGAGTTGCCCAGAGAGAGAAGAGAAGTGTGTGAAAGAGAGAGAAAGAGAGAGAGAATGATTGGAAATTCCGAGAGTTTGCTGCTGTCAGTTTTCGTTCACTTTTAAAGATCTATCAAACTAGTTGATAGTTCAGAAGACAACGTAAAAGACTGAAAATTAATTGAAATAATGTCATTTTGTACGATGATTATAAAAATAGAAAATGAATGTCTTTCTAGTATAATGTTTCAACGATGTCCTCAGTATATTCAATATAAGGAGGAAGATTCATCTGATTCAGTGGAACGAGCTCATATGCAAGGTATATCCTCCTTCTCCCTTTCCCTCTCTCTAGGTGTATAGCTCTGTTGTAGATTCCGTTGATGTAGATGCTGAACGACGATATTGGTATCATCGATTAGGATGAAAAGCTATGTACATATAATATTCTAATAAAGATGTATTTTCATTCATATAATGATGTTTCAATTGAACTGGATGTTCCTGTACAATATCTTAAAAATAAAAATAAATTTCATGTTTATGGTCAACTAAAATTGAATGTTATTGTATAAAAATGAAAAATTGTTTGATGAATACAACGACAAAAATATAAATCTGGATTTTGGACAAGAAAAAGAAGAAGAAGAAGTGTTGGGCGAAGAGGAGGATGGAGGAGGAGGAGTTGTAGTAGCTGTAGAAGCAGTAGATGTTGTGTAAGAGACATTGAAGGCGATAAGATGATGATAGAAATAGAAGTTAGAAGAAGGTAGACTAGTAGTGAAAGCGAATGAGTCAGTGAAACAGCACGATAGATTGAGAAAGAGAGTACGAAAAGCAAGTAGGAGAGTACGATGAATGAAGACAAGAACGAACTAACGACGATGACGAGGACAACCGATGATCACGACTATGTGTGAGATGATGAAGATGGAAATATCTAGAATAGAAGTCATATATTCATATATATTATAATGAAATATAAAAGAAATTATTTTGTTTTTTATGCGAGTCAAATATGGTATTTCCTGCTGTGAATAGAGAATGTTCATTTGTGACTGGAATTGGTTGATGACAAATCGAACGGTCACTCTTTATCATTTTGTACTTGGCACTTGCTTTTGGCTGTTTCATTATAATTTTATATTTCAGACGATGTGGATACTCATAATCTTTGTCTCTTGGACTTTACATTCAGGTATATTCATGATGTTTGATCATTATCACTAAGCTATGCATGCCATTCAGAATCTCGTGCTGATCTTATACAGTCAGCGTGCAAGCGATCACCTAACTTGAACTTCTGTTCTAATCATAATCCAGGCATTGGCACGGTTCGATTGAACCAAAGTTTAATGAATGTTTTAGAAACAACAAAAAGTCCGAATGAACCTCCAAGAACGGAAATAAATGATTGGCTAAGGGCTTTCCTTGATGTGAGTTCTAACCCAGTCAAGGAGAACCCTAATCTTCTTCAGGATGGAAGTCCGGATGAAGATGATGACGGGGAGATTTCAGCTCAACGCCATAACAATACCAATATTCAAGCATATTGCGTAAAATACAATGTAACTTCTTATTCTATTTATATTGAAGTATCTCCTTGTTTAAGCATAACTTCCATAGCTACTGTACGGCAGATCGAATAGAAGAATTGGAAGGAGTTCTATCAACTTTCTGTTTGTACTATCGTCGAACATGTGATGCCGATATCAAAGTTGATCGAGTACCAGATCATAAGACGTTGTCTTTAAAAGGAATTCCAAACTTTCAAATATACTGTTTATAGAGACTTTCCCAATCCTCCTCCACTACAACAAGAATTTCATATTTCGAAGGAGTTCACGGAGTCGGTCGATCCAAGTAAGAGACATTCATCAACTATTCAATTACTCATTCTCTTCTATTTCCTGAAGTCAAATCGTCTCAGTACTGTCAGCGATTCTCAACAAAGTTCTCTGAACGTTGTTCATCTGCCACGACAAGAAAATCAGATGATTTCTGTACCTCATACATGGAGAATTGTCAAAATTCTCGTGCTGTGTCGACAATGAAGGAAAGGTCTGCTGAGTTGAGCATCAATCAACTTATCCATACTTTCATTTATTTATAGTTCAATAGAATCAGAAGAACTGGAATTACCTCCAGTAGATGATGTCGATGGTGACGATGACGAATTGTCTAATACAGAAACTATGAAGAAGACATCATCTGCAGAAGGACAAGCATCAGATAATGTTCTTAACATAACATACAATTCAGAAGCTTCAACATGATTATTACAGAAGCAAGCTGTCTCTGACTATTGTGAACAATATTCTGAAAATTATAATTATTTTTGTGCAGGAGAAGCTAATAATGAGAATGCTAAATTCTGTGCTGCATATGCATCCAATTGTCCTCAGAAGATCGAATCGTAAGTAGTCAATTAGAGTATTTGTCTGTTTGTGTGTGTGTGTGCGTGTGTCTGTACAATAAAATTTCATTTTATATTATGTCCCTCATCATCATCTCAGATGTCAGTTTAACTATACTATCTATACTATATATGTTATTATCTATATTATATGTTATTTTTTATTAGATGTTATGGTATATTCTACTTTATATACAAGTTATTTCTGGTTTCAGATTTAAAGGGTCTGGCACATTCTTGGGTGAACGTGAAAAGGCATAATTCAAATGGTTTAATATAGTTTATTGATTTATTGTTTATTTTAGTCAGCTCCCGGTACTTCCGTCTATCAATATAAGGGAACTAAAAAAGAATATTGTGATAAGTTTTCTGTTAATTATGAATATTACTGCAAAGGAGATAATCCTGATGTATCCGTTGATATTACACGACAGTTCTGTCCATCTTACAAGGCTGTATGTCTAGCTACACCGTATGTATCAGCTTCATCATACAGCTGATTGAAGTTACTTTTTGAGAGCACCAGTAGCAGCTCCTGCTAACCCATTCTCTTTGACTTCTGGATCCTCAAAAACTGAAGGTCCAAATGATCCTGATTTTCCTGACTTCGACAATGTTAGTTTTGAGTAGTTAGTATGCCCAACCGATCACGTCTGCTTGCTTTCCAAGAATGACACTTGTGTCATTTGTTCACGTACTTCCTTCACGTTTGTATGCTAATGAGCTTTTCAGCCAAAGAAAGGAAGTACTAAAACGAGTCATAGAAGACGCGGAAAGAAAGGACACCGTGGCTTGAAGCTCTTCAAGTACAGTTTTTGAAGATGTAAACTCTCCAGCATAATCTAACTCAGACATCCTTGTACTCCAAATTGTAACTCTACCATTCATCCTCACTGCACAGCTGACTGCAAATGCGATTTCATATATCCATATGTACAGAAATTCTGTAACCCCCCTCCTCTACCTCTATTCTTGAACACATGTCGGTGAGTCCTTTTCAACAACCGTGTGAGCTTACCTTCATTACGTAAGGCTGTGGTATAATGGCTGTCCGAAGTACGAAAGATACCATTATGCTTCTCAATTCGTATACTCTAAAGCTGAGAAAGGAAAAGTTATTGGTGATTTCAAATTGCAATTTTATCTATAACAGTTTATTGATTTGAAGAAGGACCAGGCGATACGAAACCATTCAGTGTTATTTCTCCTAATGGTGAGAGACTTCCGGTCAACCTCCATCAGCCAGGAATTGGATCACGGTTCGCAAATGACTGATTAGGCTTTCAAATCATATGTTTCAGTTTGAGGGACGACGTGACTGTGTGGGAGTCTGACGATAAGTATACTCACCACCTCTTCAACTGACATTCTGATATTGTAGAATACGTCAGCGTTTAAAGGATGATGCAAGTTTATGGCTTTTAGAAGATGACCATCCGAGACAAAACAAAACTCGGTATTTTTGAATTTTTTGTTTCTTTTTCAACTTCTGTTATCTGTTAATCTGTTATCTGTTAATAAAGATTCTATCCTTAGCACTTAGCTACTTCATTTTCATTCGCACTCTCTTCTTTACCACAATCAAACTTCAGGAGAAAGAAACAAGAGTATCTTCATAACTTACCTTTTATCAAGTTCTTAGATGATGAAGTGAAGCAAGCAATACCCAAGTGAGAAGAAATACTTTATTTCTTTTTGATAATTTGATATCAGTTTCCCTATACCTACTCTTCCTCCTCGAGCAGCAGCTACCACGACTCAAGCCGCCATAGCCCACAAGTAAAGTATTGAAATGAGATATTGTACTTCTGTATCTTTCTAGACAGCGTGACGAGCAAGTTTTTGAACAGGAAGTTCCGACCTTACCGACAGACCAGAAGAATAAGTTATTCAGTGACGATCGATAAAAACACTGATCTGATCTTTTGAAGAGATGCCGTACCAGTTGTGCCTAGTGACTCTGTCTTTCAAAATGCTTTAACTCAGTATGGAGCGTTTACTGATACGCGTGGAGTTCTGCATAGACCAAGAAGTCGTTCCCCTTTCACAAAGCCCGGTCTATGGGAGCCCAACCCCGATAACCCACATAACAGAGATCACGCCAATAAATGGTATTATCATCCCAGATCTGTTAACGTTGATTGGCTTGGTGGTCAAGTGAGTACCTTTAATCGGTAACTTCAAAAACATTAAATTGCAGATTGCTTGGGGTGCCCATTGGGCTGTTCCAGCTGCTGGTGTGGGAGGTACTGATGGATTCAGTACCATTCACTTCCCCACTATCGGAACATTCGCTAATATTCCTGATGATTATGATTAGTTATATAGTATTTAACGGAAAACCAAGTCTTTCATACAGTCAGTCATTCATTTTTTCAATATGAAAGTGAGATAAATGAGTTATGAGTTGAATTCTCTGAAATCTTCTGTGAATGTTCGTCGTGGTTTAGGGGGAGCGTCTCTGGATTCAGAACGAAAGTACATACTTCTTTTTGCTTCGGCAGAGATGGGAACTTCATTTCCCAAACTCTTTGACCGAGCTTTCTCATCTGCCTGTAATCTTAACTTGCGTAAAGGAAGAAAGGAGAGAACGAACTGTTTCGGAATCGCGAATTTCATCGAAAAGAGGTTTTCTTCGATAGACTTTGATCAAGTCTTTCTCCTTGGGTTTACTTACAATGAGCTGAAAAATATGATCCATCGAGGTAAAAATAAAAAGACCTACCGGTATATCTGTCGGTACCGCTTTTGGCTGAGAAACAAGTTGCATTCGCCTCTCGAAATCAGCACGGTAATCATACTTTTCGAAGACTCGAGGTGAGGCAGATTCTTCTGAGGCTTCGTCGGGAACAGTTTTGAGGTTTTTGAGGATCGAGTTGATTTTCATGGCTAAGTTAGAAGGTTCTCCTAAATGCGAAAGAAATAGTAACTGTAAGTAAGGATATAAGGACTTATTGTTTGTTCATATTCTATATCATCTCTTTCATCTTTTGGCGAAGCTGTTGAAGATGGGACACAAATTTCGATAATTGGTTGGTCATTATGAGATTCTTCTTTCTGATTAACGACAATACTTGAATTTGACGCTGACAGTAGACTGGATGGTGGTAATGTTGGAACGTTTTTGACTTCATCAGTAATTTCTGAAGAAGCTCGAGATCGGGATCCACTACGCGATGAAGCTTGAAGCAATATAATTATAATAAGCATAATAAGCTAGTAAACATACAAATGCTAAATATTGATCCTTTTCTTTTTGTTTTTTTCCCAATTTCTTCTTCGTGTTGCATTTTATCATAGAAGGCTTCCAAATCAGTTTTCAAGCTTGTTCGCGACTTTTGATCATCGCTTCCTTCAGAAGTCTATAACACGTTACATATTGACATTGCACAGTATAATGATTAGAAATACCTTGGTTTCTGTAGATTCTAACTCTGGTATGGGCGTTGTTCCATTGACAGACATCCGTCGCCGATAAGTTGATGATGAAGTTTGCGTAGTGCATATAGCCTTACTGCTAGATACATTCCGCAGTCGATACGCTAATTGGATCTTAAAGCATAGAAGGTGATAGAATATGGAATGGATGAACAACTTGATCAAAGTAATCATATAACACATCGCTTTCAACCATACGAGTCTTGGGATTTGTTTCGTGCATCATGACGACCGCTTTTTCGTAAATTATGCTTATGATATCCTTAATTAATCTCATCATTGTTGTAAAGATATAATAGAATCTTACGATTTCCGCTACGTCTTTGTACAATGATTGCAATGAAGCGAATTGTAGTAAGAGTGCCATTTTTTCTTCTTCAGCATGTTGCCAAACCTAAAGCATACGAACATCGAATAAGCTATATGATAAGAATTGAATTGAAGTAGAATTTACAATTTGTGATATCAAAACAGCAAATAACTTTTTCAAATACGAAAATAACAAATGTTAATTTGAATTAATTTCAACAAAAATCTTCTTGAAAAGAATAAAAAACGAACTCACATGATCAGCTTTACGTATTATCACATCAAACAGCTGATGTATTTCTTTCCAATATTGTAATCGAATCAATTGCCTGAAAATAAAAATTATTTTTGAAATAATTATTTTCCATATCCCCAATGCAACCGTGTCTCACGTGAATCACGTCTAAAATGATTCAGACGCTTCAGTTTTATTTTTTTGTTACGCAAACAACCGACAGACGCACATTAGCATACAGTTTCAGAATATTCTAATGAGGTGTTGTAGCTTCACTCAATGAATTCAAATCCATTTCTATACTCACTCACCTATCTTCATCAAACAGTTCTTTTGTGTTATAATTAGCATGGCTGTAAACTTCTCGGACTATGGCTGTAAAATTAAGTAGAAAACGACCAGTTTTTTTGGAAATATGCGTCTCTCGGATAGTTTTCATTGCATCCAAGCAGACTGTAAAACATAAATGATCGAATATGTAAATGATGAAGATAAGTGAAGTGAGAAATCTGACTTACTTTCATGATTTGTTTTTGGATCCCAGAAACTTTCACTCAGTTTATCATGAATTGTTTTATAAAGAAATGCTATTTGATCAGCATTAATATGATAACGTCCACGAGAATCTGGTTGATCGGATGGATGTCGAAAGAGGTGCATTGGTATAAGCTTAATTAGAAATAATAGATAATCAACGAAAACCACAATGTACTATTGATGTCAATGAAGCTATTCAAATACGTTAGTGAATGAATGGAATTTGCAAAGTAAAGCTATCGGCATATTTTTGATATTTCCATATAAAAAGTGTGTATGAAAGTCATGAGTATTCATCAAATGATTTTCTGATAACGAGAGAAGGTTGAATGGTTTTTGTTATCAAAAAGCCTTTTAAAGAATCCATAATCAGATTAGTTATGGAGAGTAATTGAAGAATATGAAGAGTTAAAAATATATTTATTATATACTCTCTCTTTGTACATCTAAAGAGCTATATAAATCAGGTCGCGACACAAGACATATGCACTGTGTCATGCTATGATTATAAATTTCATTTTATGCATTTGTTTTTTGGAACATTTTGCCGGCCATTTTGAGACCTTGTTGAGCCAAGCCAGCTCCAGCTCCGTTCTGGATGTTCATGAAGAAGCTGGACAAGATCTTGAAGGCATCTTCGGGATTTACATTGAACTTTTGAGCTTTAAATAATTTATTATTTTTTTGTTTGTTTTTCATATCATTACCAGCCATGTTAAAGATTTTTGTAGCAGCAGGTACATGCTTCATCATATCCTGTTTAACGTTATCATCCAGGCGAGTATATTTATCGAGGAATGTACGGAAGAACGATTGAGCAGCCAAGTTTTCGGGTTTCAATGATGGCACTCCCATGGCTTTCTTTGTCATCTGTATAGATATTGAAGTGAAACAGAGAAATAAAATTGAAAATGTAATACATCAGCAAAGAAACGTTTTCCAGCTTGTCCGAGATTCTGAAGATCCATGCCATTGTTGCAGCTAACATATACTGCGAGAAGTGCAATAGAAAGAACGATCAACTTCATGATTTTTCTGGAAGAAAGAAGAAATAGAAATGAAAAATGTTTTGAATAGTTTCTTCGACAAGCTTGCCAGGAACTAAACTGACTTCACTCATTTCATTCTTCGGGAAGTAGGATGGCTCTTCTTGATAACAACTGTTCCATACTGATGATAGATTAGGCTAAGATGAAGAGCAGCGGTTTTTTTGTTCAAATTATTTTATTTTATAATTAAATATTTAGTTAAATAGATGATATATTATATATATTATACATATAGTAAGTGATTGCATTTGAGGATAATGGGTGAAGCTGAGGAATAAATTATGATTTTCATCTGTACACTATAGAGGGTATGGAATTCAAAATGGAACAAGGAAATGAATGAGAATGATAAAGAGGAGAAAGAGAGAGAGAGAGAGTCAGGGAGAGAGAGAGGGAGGGAAATAATGAGAGAATTTGAGAAAAAGGCTTAATGTCTTCCAATTAGATGTCTGGCAACAGCTTTTCTCTGAACTTTTCGTTGGCGTTGTTGATTACGAGATTCACTGGCGATTAATTGGATATAAGCATTATCATAGAACGTCTTCAACATCTTGCTAATATCTCCAGTTCCCGATAAACGCTCTTGATAATCTTTTGCCAATTTATCGAACATCGTTTCTTGATGCTTAACAATCATAATCAATACAAGATTTCATTGCAAACGGTTACCGGTAACGCTCGTGTTCGTGGAATCGGCTGAGTTTGAATCATCGAACGAGTTGTTGGTGTTGACGGTGTTGTTTTTTCCGACTTACTAGATAGGGTAGAATATCATGATAAGGCGATTATTGATTTTATATGAAAACTTACGCTTTTCTGCTCCGGTATGGGAGAGGTTGTGTTACGCTTTCGGCCTCTTCCAGATCCAATGGTGCTCCGGTTTCTAATTCGAGGAGATCATTATCAGAGTCATCACGACGGGCAGGTAGCTGGAAAGGGAAATCGTATTGTTTGAACCCCATGAACTCTTGTCGTTCAAAAGAAAGTGAAAGTTAAACTTACTTCTTCTGAAAACTGTCGAAGTTTATCAGTTGTTTCGTCTTCAGCTAGTTTTTCTGCCACAAGAATGTGTTTCTCTGAAGTTTTGATTGGGTGAGTTTGAATGACCAAATCCTTAAAGCGGCTGATGTTAAAGGAATTTTTTGTTGTTGTTTTTACTTTATCGATTGTATGCTTTGGTGGATGAAGCTTGATTTCTGGTAAATCTGAACGACTTGGAACAGTCACAGCTTCGTAGGAAACAGAAAAAGTGGTTGGCATATCTTCAGAATCTTCCGCGCTAACTTCATTGTAGTCGGAAGAAGGAGAATTAACTGATTCCTCTGAACGGATAAAGAATCTTGTTGACATTCCAATGTACCATGTTTACCTGGAGGGCTTGGAGCCGATACTTTCTGAGAGAACTTCTTAGCTAACTCCTCTTTGACAATCTGTTGTTTGGTGAGAGATAATTTATCGAAAAGTCATAAAGTAGTCAGACCTCGTGAACATATTGAACCAAATTGGCTTTTTCATTCTCAGTCAAGTTGATATTCCTCAAAAGGCCGTATAAATCCGATTCTGAACCTGATTTGTCGGTCTGCAAAATCGTAAAAATGACCATTTAAGATGAGAACTTCGAACATTTTCTTGATTTGAATCATCAACCTTCAGCTTTTCTTCGATGGGTGTCGATGTTGTAGTTTTCTGAAGATTCAATGATCAATCTTTCGCAGTTTGCAAAACTGTAAATACCGAAGTAGATGTGATTAGAATCTGAGAAGTTGAGTATGTGGTAGCTGATGCAGGCGTCGAGCTTATTGGTGAATCTCGAGAATCTGCTTCATCACTCTCTGTTTTGATGGCTTCAAGCTTCTACAATATATTTTTGGAGTTAAAAAAGAAAAATTGTCAAAAGAATCGGTAAACCTGATTTGCGCCCGTTTCAAAGCTTTGAGTCTTGACTCCAGCTGAATAGGCTTCATACAATGGCGCTGAAGCAGCTCCTATAATGTTGTGAGTTGTGATGATCGTGTGCTATCAATGATCTATATTACCATTAGCTATTCCTAATTGTGCTGGATTTAATAAATTAAATTGTTGGTTCGATGTTGGAAATTGGCTTGGAATCTGGTTGGAGAGTGTTCCAAATGATGGATGAAATATCAATCCGGGTTGCAATCTGGAAAAGAAAAAAAATGAAAATAACTTCTGAGAAGATTTTTGAACTTTCTATCCTATCCTTTCAACAACATGATAACACAAAGTGAAGCTCATAACAATCGAAATCCTGTTCAAAACTTTCAATGTTGAAAGAGAATGAAAATGAATAGGATGAAGCATCTTCATCTTCTACTTCTTCTTCTTTTTTTTTGCCATTTAAATTCAACTCAATTTGCATATTCAATTTACACGTTTACCACGCGCATAAAACTATTCTCTCACGTGTGTTACATCATTTGTGTTGGTCAAAGATGCTTGAGAACGGTTGAATTTACATTATGGTCCCGCTAGCATAAATGTTTTTTCAAAAGATACTTACTGAGAAGCTTGATGTGCTGAAGCTGTCATTGTGTTCGTTAAAAGAGCGTTGTTCATCAAGATGGCGTTATTATACTGATGTTGGCGTTGGAGGAAGTCATAGAAAGCATTCTGATTCATGTACAACATCTGTAGATATAGGTATTAAGAGATTGATTGAGAGCTTGATCTAACCTCATTAGGAGTTGGTGCACTGGGAGCCTGTGACGTAACATATTTGACGGCGTGAAGAAGCCATGGGATAATGAATAACTTGAAGCTCATATCTGGAAAGAGATACAGTGAATGGATGGATTGGGGTGGGTACAAAAGAGAAAGAGGGAGGGGAGATCAAGTGAGAGGGGGGTGGTAGCTTTAGGGTAATGGGATAAATCCTTTTGATTAGTATTGATATTGTAAAATAAAAAAATGAATCGATTGAATAGAATGTGGATGTTCGATTGATGGCAAAAATCTAGAAAGAAACTTGATTTTGTTCATGAGAAAAGCTATGAAAAGATGACGACGACTTCTCTGACAAGAAAAAATGTGATGAACAAGTGGTCATTCGATGAATTTTCTTTTCAAAAATTTGCATATTTAAAATACTTGAAATAATGATGATGATTTAATAGGTGGAACAATTCTATTAAACAGTTGACGTTCTTCTATCTCTCTCTCTCTTACACTCACACTCATTCTCTCTTTCTCTGTCCTTAAATGGAACATGATGATGATGATGCAATCCAGCTTCATCTTATGGAGGCAAGTACTTCTCCTAGTTGCTTCGTTTTTTTTCAGATTCGGACACGTAGTACAAAGCAAGATACCTCGAAAAGAGAATAAGAGATTAAGAGAGAGAGACAGGAAAGAACATGACCAAAAAAGGACTTTTTTGATTCTTTCTATATCTTCAAGATCAAAGCATATGATAGGATTTGGGATGATTCAGAATTTCCGAAAATATTCTGAATGCTTAATTGACTTTCATGAATTATCTGTCTTTTCAGTCTTCAGACGACGATCCGACAAAAGAGGCAGACGGACCAGCCAATTATGCAATCCTGTTGAGGCAAACTACATCATCAACCAGATAACAGGCAGAATATGAAAATAAACATAAACAATCAGAGGAATTCACTGAAGTTGGGAAAATTACTTTAGATGACAAACAATCTTTCTGCCTCTCTTCATCTTCATCTCTCTCTCTCTCTCTTTCTTACTCTCTTAGATGCTTACTGAAGACAACTGTGATGATCTCTACTGATGAGCGAAGACCTAAAGAGGTGTAGCTTAAAACTGGTCAAATCATATGATCTATCAGGGCTATCCAGCTTTTTTCAAAATGAAAATAAACATTAAAAAAATGAATGAAAGAGATATAAGGATTCATACATGAAACCTAAAATATGATGGATGATAAAGCTTTAAGCCTTCGTTTACCAGCTTTATTATAGTTGAAGCTGAGATGTCTTCTCAGCCGTTTCGTCAGAAGATAAGAGTGGATGTGAGAAATAAAAAGATAGAAGAGAGACGGACAATTGTCTCGAAAAAGGAAAACCAACGAACCGGTTAAGCAAGGGAGAGCCAAAAGCCGGGCATTTAGGCGATGAATTAGTATCCTTTCAGCTAACATTTTTGTCTCTCTCTCTCTCTTTCTTTATCTCTTTGTATTCCTCTCTCTCAGCTTGTTTCTCTCTATCTAACTGTATCACTCTCATGTCCATCTTCATACCTTTTCTCACACTCTAATCCTCTTTTTCAACTTTTCTTAAAGTATAATATGTATTTTGAATTACACACAACTACCCTCTCAATCCTCACTTCCCCCCTCCTTCTCTATCGGTGGTCCTCTGGCTTCTATTGAAATCACTTTTTTTCTTTAAAACCATTACAGGTTTTATTGGAATTTTCCGATTTTTATGAAGCGAAATTTCATTTTTCATTCGTCATTTGACTCCTTCTGAGATTCAGACCTTCACAGACTTGAAAACAAAAATGAGGAGAAAAAAAGAAAAAATCTTTCTTTATTTCCATTGATCATCGAAAAGCATATAGAGGTTCACGCATTTTCTTCTTCTTACTTATGGAACAAGGTAATATCTTTTCTAATTCATACAAATCTCGTATCTGAAAATGAATTATACAATGCTTGTGTTCCAAGTATTCAGATGATGCTATTCTACCTGTACAATTCGTCCATTCAGTTCACGTCTTTGTATTGTCGTTGTCTCGGAGGGTTTTGCATCCAAAATTCTGGCGACCGACCTGAAAACATGATGAATTCAAGGTGACGCACAAGCAGTTATAATCACATTTCAGGGCAATCCTTTAGGCTTAGACATCTCATACGTTGAAGAAGTACAAAGCAGTCCTCATCATAAACCTTCAAAGAGTTTCTTCTGATTCCCATGAATGAAAGTAAAAACCAACTTCATAGATGAGCAATGGCATCTTCCTGTGATGTTTGATGATGAAGTTGTGAAGAAGAAACAAAATAAGAGGAAAATTGAAATTGGGAAAGAGAATCGGAATTCCAAAAAGCAACTGCGGACAAAACAGTCCAAGAGATATGTCAAGAATTTCAATCTGAAAATGAAAATGAAGTACAATGAGATTAGCATGAGGATTACCGTTAGAATAGTAAAATACAAGTAGATAGTAACTAGCCCTATTAAGAACTGATAGCTTTCATCATAGATTCGCCGTTGAACAGCCGTGATCATGTACTTGCCGAGTAAGATGAGGTCCTTAGCATAGGGATAGAATGATAAAGAAGTTGATAGGAATAAACACAAAACGTAAACAGGTAGATTAGGTTCCAATTGGATTGTTCGGAACAAGCATCTATAACATACATCTTCATTTGATGAGAAGCGAATATGAGAAGAGTAATCCTCTCTCTAAAACCTACCTTATGAGAAAAGGAACCCCGAGAGTAATGGCCAAATGCCGTCCACTTACTTGCCGTCTCATATGGCATTTGGAATATCTTGAAGAGGATTTTTAGTTTCGTTTCAACATGAACTGCATACATACCTTCTTGTTAAAAAGTATTCAAATCGATTTGATAATATTCGAACAAAGCCAAAAACGAGAAATAGGTAAACGATTTGTCTCTGCCTCATACACCGATCGAACTCTGGCGATGTAGGAGAGGTTGAGCTGAAATTGATAATGGCGTTCCAAAAAAATTTGAAAAAGGTGATAAAGGCTGACTTGGTTGCTTCGTAACAACTTTCATCCACATAGTGTTGAAAATATTTATTTAAACATGCTGGAGCGATTAGAAATAAGTGAATAATGATAAGAAGAATGGAGTAACGGATGATTAGCAGAATAGGCAGACGCTTAATAAGTTTCTTCATTCTTTAATTTCTTCATCATTCATTCGTACATGACCTTCTGAGAGAGCAAGAGAGAAGCTTAACTGAAAATTTCAAAAATTTTTCGATAAAACTCATCCTTCCTGCCGTTTCTTCCTTCTCCCTCTCATTCTCTTTATCCCTCTCACCCTCTTAGACAATTCCTTGAGTTTGCTCATCTTTCGCATCTCTCTCTTTCTATGTTTCGTTCATCTTTCTCGTAACCTTAACAGCTTATTTCTTTCTTTTTAAATTCAACATCTTTGGAGATTTTACTCGTGTGATTTCCTAAAATGGAAATTGGATTCTCGTCCGAACAATTGACGTCTCTCTTCACTCAATCCCTTCTACAAAGCATTTGATCATCAGAATTCATATATTTCAATTGACTAGTGAAGGACAAATTTCTTTTGAGAAACGAAACATTTCCTTCAAATTTACATGAAGAATAAATCTTTTTTTCTTTTTGTTTTCAAAAAAAAAACAATTTTTCAAAAAAATACTGGAAAAGTCAATGATCGTCCATAGTGTTGATGAGGTTGCACACCAACTATCCTTCACTCACGTTCTTCATGCATTCCTCCCTCATACTTCAACTGAAACTCTGCAACTGAAGACGATCACTGTGTTCACATTCTTCACAAGTAGTTTAACGACTCAAAGACAAAGGATTGTCACTTAGAAAGGAGCAAAAAACCAAGAGAAAGGGGGGAAATTGAAAGAAGGAAAAGTCATTTTTCATTCAGCAAAACTGTCTCAAAGGAATCATAACTGTTCTGAGCTTAAACTCTTTTCGTCTCTCTCTCTCTCTATCTCTCTACCTCTCTCTCTGGAAATTTTCAACAGAAAATATTTTAGAGTTTTGATGACTTATAGAGCCAATTCCCGATAGACAAATGACGTTTGGTTGGTTCAGATTTTAAGCTTCTTTCTCCTTAATCTTTGGGATATGTCTGTGTCTTTCTTGTTTCGAAACATTGCAAAACTCCTGAGTCTCATCAGGCTCCTTCATTCACGTGCGCATGACGTCATCATCAACTTCATCTTCATCTCATCGTTTCATTTTCAAAAAAAAGTGTTCAAGTGAGCGGTTACATTCTATTCTACTTCCTACATCTCCCCTTCACCCCACCTCAACTCCAAACTCATTCGCCTTCGTTCTGGAACTTTCCAGCCTGCCACGTTGATTGTTGCCAAACATAAAACTTTTATTGAAATCTTAACTAATATTTATTTATGTGAACATATAAAAAGGCATAGTTAACGGAATTAGAAATAAACTTTGAATTCTATTCATAGTCGCATTTGACTTCATTATTGGTTATTCAGATGATCTCTCAGTTTCTTCTAGAAATAGAAAGTGATAATGTGTGTTGCTGTCTCTGTTCTCAGGATAGATCTTTCGCTCTTCTCCATCTATCTCTCTATCATTATGTATACATATAAGACAATTTCTTAGTTGATTCGATGTCATTGACTGTCTTATTTAATTAAAAAAAAACTTTTTTTTCTCTCCATCCCTCGGCCCTCCTCCTCCTTCTCACTCTCTCTCTCTCTCTCTCAGTCAGTCACTCTACCTCACTATCCTTCTACCTTCAAAGGACAATAATATTAAATAATATTTTTTTGTCTTAACAACAAAAGCAACTTGTGAAACATATTTGAAATATTTGTGTTCCAAAAAGGGCAAATTGTATTTTCCCAACGTCATCCATCAAATTTCAAGTCAGAGCCGACATACATCTTGTTATTCTTTTCACTACTGGAATATCACAAAACTTTTGTCATTTTTATTTTAAAAAAAGGCCAGAGGGAATTTTTTTGGACAACAACCACGCCCTTTGATGTTTCTTCTTCATCTTCTTTTTCTTTTTATCATTTCTTCTTATATGTACTTCCTACCAACCAAATTTCTGTCATCTTTCCTTTTTCTTTCTTTTTTTTTATTTTCTCTCTCTCTCTCTCTCTCTCTCTACTCATCTCCCTCTCTATTTCTCTATCTCTCTTATCAATTTAATCGCATTTTTATCCTTCAAAACCTAATTAACCAGTCATTTTTCATTTTTTTACACGTGCCTTACACGTGTATTTTTACGTGACTTTTACGCAATCACATACTGTCAACCGTAAAGACCGTGCAATCCGCCACCCAAATCATTTTGATCTTCTTGACAGCCAGTGAACGGTTGGTCTTCATTTTTCTTTCTTAATTGAATTATGCAAATGCGTTAATGATGTAATATATCTTATGGCTATTGATTAATTAGAAATACATTAGGAATAATCTTTTCTGATTCATTAGTCACTTCCTTATATATCTCTCTAATCTCATATTTCATATAAGGGAAATGACTAGATGAATAGAAAGAGAGAGAGAGACAGAGTGGGAGAGAGAGGGAAAGAGAGAATAAGAATGGAAAAGCATAAGTTTCCCCCCATGTCACGTATTTCTTGTACTGACCAAACATCAATTATTCATTTATTTCATCCAGCTTCTGCCAATGCCATTATCATACAGTTGCTAGACCGCGCGCATGTTTAGCTTGTCTCTTCCTAAGTTGCGGAAAGAGAAATCAAAGAAAAACAATATTTATATCCTATAATACATTAAGTATGAAAGATAATTAATTAAGTAAATGATTGAAATGAAGAACCAGAATATGATGGAAAAGAGAAAGAGGGGCAGGTGGGTAAAAGTGGAGAAGGGGGGAGTTGTGGGTAAAGGCTGTTGCCTGGAATGAACGATCATCTGCGGGGTTCGTGATGTTGTCGTTTTACGTGATCATTTCTAACAAGTTATTTATTTGTTCTTAACAATTGACCAATTGTAATCCACATATTGTTTTTTTCCTCCTCAGCTACTTCAGAAACATCTTCGTCGACATCGCTACTGATTTTCATGACAATATTTACAATCTCTGTTACATTTTTGAGGCAGTTATAGACCAGATGATGTTCGTTATCTATGTGAATTACGACCTCCTCGAATGTTCATCGTTTTCACCCATCTGGCACTGTGTGTGGCGGGCCTTTTCTCATCTTCTTCATCAGTTTCTCCAGCTGCTTCTTCCATTCTTACTTTTTGATCGTCTTTTCGGCTTTTCACTTCTTTCTCTTCTTATTCTTATTCATCTCGTTCATGTACTGTTAGAAGCCATCTGTGGATACTCAGCTCATTTATCGCCCACAATGAATTCCCAACAAGCCCACACAAACAACTCAAATTTCTGTTCTGATGGACGTCCATCGCTCGAACTACCCCTCCGCCTCTTTCTCTCTTCCTCTGTAATTTCTCTCTTTCTTACAAACTATTGATCACATACGATTCCTAATTTACGATTTCGCACCCGTTCAGCCCGCCTTCACCAGACGTAGACTTCTAGCATGGTGCGAACCTCTTCAACACTATAAGAAAAATTATACAGAGAGAGAGAGATTGATAGAGCATGATAAATAGAGAGAGAGATAGGAATGTGTATATTAGTTAATTGAGGTTCTTGTTAATTGCCTTTTCCTAAAAATTATTCATTTTAACGCTCCTTTTGTCTGATAAGATCAATCATTCACATATTTTATACTTTAACCTCAAATGTCCTCCAAAATCGGAAACATGTCGCCTCCTCATTGTTTTTGTCCTCAAATTTTTATTTTTATTCATAATTCATTTCAGATCCAGCCAGTTCATAAGAAAAATCAAATAATTTCTGATGAATAACAACTTCTTCATCTGAAGGGTCATGCTCTTAACTATATGAGACTAACAATACTAATGATCGTCTTTATTCCAATGCTAATACCATCTTATGAATGTGCACCTGATCAACCCTCTTCATCATCAGCCAATGGTAAGTAAATCTTTGATCTGTTCAAAAGCGTAGAAGAAGAGCATGCGAAGGCTACGTTCGCTAGAAGGAGACAGATAGATAGAGAGAGAGTGTGTGCGTGTGTAAATCATAGATTAAAAGAATCAGCGTGAAATCATTTTTTGATTGTACCGACTGTTTAATTGAACTTACTGTCCACTCCTGAAGCTAGCTTGAAGTCCATCATCTGATCATCGGTTGGTCTTCAAGCTAAGCTTTAGCCCAGCTTTTCGGTTTATTCAATTATTTCATTCGTAGAACTTGTTAAAAACTAAAATTTTGAAATGAAAAACTATTTAACGATAAGTGTAATGAAATACAAACGATAAATAACTTTTTTTATTCTTGAATAATCTAATTTTTCGTCTTTTTGATCAGATGAGACAGGTCGGTATCGATTACAACTTCGAGCTCATCGACGACGACATCGACATCGTTCGAACTATCTTGAACATGATCAATTATTTGATTTGTTAACACAAACAGCTGAAACTGATAAAGTTCGTGAAAAAATTCGTCGAAATAAGGTCAGTTTTACTATTTTTACTCATTCAACATCATTTTTTATAGAATAAGGCAATTGAGAGAGAAAAGAATGAAGCATTGTGTGGAAGCGAAAGGAAGACAGTACATCTGAACAGTTTGACTGACGAGTACGATCCTCCTTTCATTGTCGAAATCAGGTGTCAAAACTTATTTGAATACGAACAAGGATTAGCTGACTATCTAGCTGAGCAGGTAACACTCTAAAATCTTTAAAATACATCTACGTCTACGTTACAGAAATGTGTGCATGGCCTTTTACGGTGTGTTCAACGATATGGAGAAGTGAGTGGCCTTTCTTTTCTTTTTTTAAAGAATGATTATGTCTTCTTCTTCTTCTTCTTTTTGAATTCTTCGCATTCACAATCTCGTTTACGCTCTAATTGGATGTTCACGTAAAAACACGTGAACAGGTTAAAATCATTTCTCTGAAAACATCAACACGCTCGACAGTTGCATTCCATTCTTCTCCCTCTTAACAAAAATGTTTTTTGATTTATATTGTTGAAACTTCGCTTTCATTGAATGATTTCTGTCCTCCAATTATCTATGAGAAAAATACAAAATGGAAAGAAAACCTTTTTATCTTCAAAAGTTTCAGATTCACGTCTCACGACGTCCTGTTGGTCATGGACATTGGGTTCCACACACTATCCGTGATGTACCAGTTTCATGTGAATGCATGTGGCCAGTCGATCAATATGGTCATCAGGAATTATAAGAAGTTTCAAAATATTTTTAATAATTTCTTTCTTTTCTTCCTCTTTTAATATGTTCTCTTTCTCTCTCCCTCTCTCTCTCTATCATCATCTCTATCTATCTCTCAACAGTATTATCTTTGTACATTGAAGAATAAACTTATTGGAAAGGATGTCCTCAGTTTATTCGAATCTTAATTCTAATCTGAGTTACATAAGTCTTTAGCACAACATTTTCTGACAGTACATCCACTACCATATTCTATAATGTTCGAACGACACGACGCCAGTGATAATACTTCACGGCATCCTAGAAATCATTTTAAAATTATTTTTCATTTTCATTTTCCTATCTCACCCAATTCATAAGTGCAGCTTCTCGTTGTTGTTGATTTCACAGCTTTCTTCAATTTCTTATCGTAAATTTCCAAGCTGACACTCTGAAATAAATTTTGGTGCAGAATAAAACGTTTTTTATGAGTTTTCAAGGAAAGACAAAGTAATGAACACCTACCTGACAGTAAGCTCCATCACGACATTCTTGGACTTCCCAGGATTGTCCACCAGGTTCCTCGCAGTCAGTGCCAACGCAATTCCAGCATTTCAAAGCGTAAGCTGTTGAAACTACATAAAGATTGTGAAATGTGAAGCTTCTTCTAAACTCACGATAGAGGAGGATAACCGCTAGGTGCCGCATATCAGGTATGAAATTTGAAAAACTCCGAAAGCATTCCTACAAGTAATTTCCTTTCTATTTCCGTTCAAATCATTATTTCAATTCCGCTCTTTAAATATATATAAACGAGTCATTTCCTTTTGGTAGATTATTAAAAAAGGAATGCAACCGCTCACTATCGTATTGAATAGATAATGAAATAAACCGAAAGTAGGCATGAACTACGCTCTAACGTGGAATGGGCGCGAAATCAACATGTTTGAAGAACATAAAAAGCGCCAAACCTAGTGCGCGAAATGATTGTTCTATTAAAAATTACATTAAAATATGATTAATTTATAATATATGCATTGTTTTGATTGTATGATTGAGCTGTTTCTGAGAGTTTAAAGCTTGAGTTTTAGTTTTTTAACATGGACGTTCTGGCAGTTCCTCAACACGTTCAGCAATGTGAAGATGTAGAAGGAGTCAGAATTCAAGCCGAATTCAGACGTTTCCTTGAAGAGTCAGTCTAGTTTTTCTATTTATAACAAGACATATTATTCATTTTTAGATTTAAAGATGACAGAGGAGAAAATATTTATATGAAGAATATGGTCGATTTATCAGAGCCAGAAAGAAACACTCTGTATGTAGATCTTGAGCATGTAGTTATGCATAGCAACACTTTAGCAAATGCTATTATGATGCAGTTTTACCGGTAAGATTTTCAAGCTGTGTTGATTAGTTATTTCTTTTAGTCTTTATCCCTTTGTTTGTAATGCTCTTCAAATGACTGCTATTGACTCCTTCAAGGATGACAATGAAAAACAAAAAATGCACAAAAAAGAACTTTATGTTTCATTCCACAATCATGCTAACAAGGAAAAGGTCAGGGACTTGTTTTTAAAATAATTTTGACAATCGAGTTAAAGGTCCGTGAATTGACTTCTGATAAAATTGGAGCTTTGGTCTCCATTACGGGTCAAGTCGTCAGAACTCATGCTGTGCATCCTGAACTCTGCCGTGGAACATTCATCTGTCCAGCTTGTGGAGTCACCACTAAAAATATTCTCCAACAGTTCCGATACACTCAGGTATCTACCTTATTCTGGTGTTTTCAATCCATCCTTTTTTTCAGCCCTCTAGATGTGCTAACCCTCAATGTATGAATCGCACCAAGTTCGATCTGGATGTTGATGACTCTTCATTCGTTGATTTCCAAAGAATCAGAATACAAGTAAATTTCTAAAGCTATTCGTTATCTACTTTGTTTTCTAGGAAACACAAGCCGAGTTACCTCGTGGTTCAATTCCTAGAACAGTAGATGTCATTGTTAGGGGAGAGATGGTAGAAACTGTCCAACCTGGAGACAGAGTTACCATTGTTGGAAGTTTAATCGTAGTTCCTGATATTTCTCAAATGAACAGTCCTGGTAAACTTAACTTTCTAATCCTCGAATACTATCCATCATCTCAGGGCTTCGTTCTGAAGCTGGAGGAAAGAGTGGCCGTGCCGGAGAGAAGGAAGGGGGATTGACCGGATTGAAAGCTCTGGGAGTCCGTGATTTAACATACAAAATGGCTTTCTTAGCTTGTCATTTGGAATCTAATAACACAAAGGTATGACACAATGATTTGTTCTTATCTGAATGGTTTTCAATTTAGTTCGGAGGAAAAGACTTCACACATGAAACCATTGATCAAATGGAGTTGTGGAAACAAATGACTCCCGAAGAGCAAACCTCTCTTAAGGTATTGAAAAAATGAAATTCATATGTAATGCTGTTTCAGAAAATGAGTGAGGATAAGAATATCGCTCAAAACTTGGTTGACAGTCTCTTCCCTAACATCTACGGAAACGATGAGGCATTTTTTCTTTTATTTTCAGTAATAAATAAGAATTCTAGATTAAACTTGGAGTACTCCTGATGCTTTTCGGTGGAGTCGCTAAGAAGAGCAGAACCGAAGGAACAACTTTGAGAGGTGACATCAATGTGTGCCTTGTTGGTGATCCTTCCACGGCTAAGAGTCAGGTTCTCAAGTGAGTTACCCAGTTAACTAATATCATTCTCACGATCATCTCCTAGAACGGTCGAGGAGTTCTGCCCAAGAGCTGTGTACACCTCTGGTAAAGCGTCTTCCGCTGCTGGTTTGACTGCTGCTGTTGTCAAGGTTTGTTTCCTCTACTGCAATATATGTTTAAAAATGATTAAATTCAGGATGAAGAATCGTTCGAATTCGTTATCGAAGCTGGTGCTTTGATGTTAGCGGACAACGGAGTTTGTTGTATCGATGAATTCGATAAGATGGATCCCAAGGATCAAGTTGCTATTCACGAAGCTATGGAACAGCAAACAATTTCCATCACCAAAGCTGGTGTAAAAGCTACATTAAACGCCCGTGCCTCCATTTTGGCTGCTGCTAATCCGGTTGGAGGTCGCTATGACAGGTGATTTTTAGATATGAAGTAGTGAAAATGTTGAAAATTTCATAGATCCCGCCCACTTAAGCATAATGTCCAAATGACCGCCCCTATCATGAGTCGTTTCGATTTGTTCTTCGTACTTGTTGATGAGTGCAACGAGGTTCGCTTAAACTCGTTTTCATAATTTTTTGGTTCTTTACAGCTTGTCGACTTTGCCATTGCTCAAAAGATTTTGGATAACCACAGATGCATTGCGGGAAAAACTGTCCGACCAGCACCATACAGCGCTGAACTAATCCAACAATATATCACTTTTGCCAAATGCTTCAAACCAATGGTAGTTCATAATTCGAAGGCTATTTTACTGGTTTCGGTTTTGTAGATCAGTGAAGATGCTGCTGAGAGTCTTGTCACTACATACAAGAGACTACGCATGTCTGACAGTAACAATGCTGCCACATCATCTTGGAGAATTACTGTTCGTCAACTCGAATCACTTATCCGTCTCTCTGAAGCTCTTGCTCGCCTTCATTGCTCTGCTAAGGTTTTTAGTCTTCTATGCAAACGTTTAATCATTCTTGTTATAGGTCACTGTCGAACATGTTGATCAAGCTGCTAAGTTGCTCAACAAATCGATCATTAGACTCGATCAGCCAGATATCGCTCTTGATGACGATTTCGAAGCCGACCCATTCGTTTTGAATGAGCAGAACAAAGAGAATGAAGACGAACCTATGGAAACTGCTGAGAAATCTGACAAGATCGATCCTGCTAAATTGAAAATTAGCTTCGAGAAATACAAAAAACTTTCTGATATGCTTGTCTTGCACATGCGTCAGGATGAAGATTTGATCGAGGATGATGACGAAGAGTACGGTGGAATACATGAGGATGATCTGGTCAATTGGTTAGTTTTCTGTTTTCATCTTATTTCATCTGTAAACGGCATATGGAATGGAGTTTTCAAAATTGGATTGAAAATTCCTAATTCCGTTAATGCCAAGATTGAATAGGCTCTCTACAGGTGTATCAATCTGAAGTGTTTCGATTAGAAACGTTAACTGCGTCTACATTATTCTTTTAAGGTATTTGGAATTCATCGAAGCGGAATTGGAAACAGAAGAAGATGTGAACGTTCAGAAAACAATTTGTAAACGTGTTATACGTCGTCTGATTAACGAAGATCGTATTTTGATTGAACTTGAGCCTGGTACTAATCCCACGTTAGTTGTACATCCCAATTATGTAATCTCTGATTAGAGTAAGTCATCTGGAAAAGAATATGATCTCTCTTCTTATATTGTAAAAACCCTCAAGTACGTACTATGCAGTTTTAAGTTGATTGTAGTATACAATAGTATCGTTTGATGATCTTTCTCCCTTTATATATATTTCACTAGGCTTTATTCTTTACTAATTTGAGATCAGTCGTGTGAATGCTGAAAATTTTCTAACTCATCTCTCTTACCACTTATTCGTTGACTTTAGTTTTGATGATTCTTACGGTTCTACACAAAGTCCGGTTTCCAACTAGCTGTCTGCTAATAAGGATTTTCGTTATTGTCATCTTTTTATGCTTTGTCATCGATGAATCTTTCGTGTCACATTGCTCTTTTCATTTTCTTACAGTCACCCCCACTGAGCTTCCCATATCTCTCCTGGCTGCATATCTAATTATATGCGTAGTGTCTGTAAAATGGTGACCATATCGCTTTCTCTTTCAATCCTAACCTGTTCTTAAGCTCTTATTCGAACAATGGATGATTACGCCATCGTCTGCCATCTGAATGTACCCACGATCGACTCGATCTAGGTTAGGTTCGAGAAGTCAAACACTGAAAGATTGAGCAAATTCTCAAAGTTTGAACTTGTTAAACTTGTGAATGGTCAAAACTGGCTGAATTGGCAAATGATCTCGAAAAAGTTTGACAAACTCTTCATACATGAGAGAGTGACAAACGAAAGTTCCAAGAAGTTCTCGGGAACAAATAAGGACAAACAAAGATCATCACGCGCGACTCTCTCGATGTAGTTTGTAGTGTATCTGTGATATTTGGACGGCTAATAGAAGAAATAGGAGGAAAACAGTCAAGCAGAAGAGGTACAAGACAATATAAAGGAAGAAAACTAGTGTTTCAGATAACATCTGCTGCTCAAGCCAAACATAATCTTAGATTTACGGAGAAGCTATTCGAGGTACGTCCTTTGCCCTTTGCTCTGACTTCAGACAAATCGTATTACATCATCATTTCCTTTTTGCTCACTATCGATTTTTATCTGACAGTGATCTTTGCCTGAGTTTCAAGTTTTGATGCATTCTTGGTTTCGCTATTCAACCTTGATTTCACTATTTGCATAACTTTACCAGAATTTCGTTTGTTCGTCCATCTTCTCATTCTTTTTTGTTGGGTTTTTAATGAGTTCACAGCTGAATTGCAGCTGAAAGGCTGATTAGTGAAAGTTTTTGATTTGAAGAGATAGAATGAGAGGGGAGATTGAGTGGAGGAATGAACATCAGTTAAGCCTCTTAATCAACATGTGAACGAGGGTGAAAGTCGTTGTAGTCATTTCGCACACGTCTTCATGCATCCAGTTTTCCTTATTTGGAACAAGAGAAGCTTCTGCGAAACACCTTTCCTTTCTAATTAGTTGTTGTGTTGTTTACTGCTGTTACGGAAGGTTATAAGGATAGTGAATATCGTACTGGATTCCATTTCATTGGTTTCCTTACAATTTTCCTGTCTTAGCCTTCTTCCCTTGAAACATTAAGTTGTATTTGAACTCGCTAAAGTCCAACTTAATCCAATCTTTCGAAAGACGATGATACTAAATGTGCTTCTTTTTTCATCCTTTGGAAAAACAAACCTGTTCATACTCAAGGACTGCACATCATTTGTTTCTTCAATATGGCGATCAGACAGAGAAAAAGATCTCGGACATCTATCTCTTCAGGCAACTATCATGTAACTTCGTAAAAGACGTTTCTTGCAACTTTCTTTCCTGATATCCTATCTGGTTTTTTTTGAAAGCCATCCACATACACATAGCCCATGGGAAGCCCTTGCCGTATTCTGAGAAGCTCTGTGAAGTTGATTGTATGTGAACGATGGTGTTCAGATATGTGTGACGATCCTCATCATTCTTGTATTTGGTCATATAGCTAAATTGCCTTTTATGGTTCTGACATGGCACACGCAGCCATCGGTATGTCCTTGTTCTGTGTCATTCCAGTACACAATGGATTGCCCTCATTGTTTCCTTCCAGATTTCCAATCCTTCCTCTTTTTTATCGTCTCTCACCAGACTTTTCTACTTTAAACGTGATGATTATCACGGTTTGATCATTCTCTCATATTCTTTTTGAAATATTGATGATGTCAGTTTATATGAACTTTTCTTGATAAAAAAGTGTGGATGGTAGGATGCTCAATCTTTTACTATCACGTGGTTTACAACATTGCTGTTCTCGGCAACAGTTTCGAGTTTTTCATACTTTCTTATGAAATTTTGTGTTCCTGATAGATAGATAGGGTCATAGACAGAGAGAGAGAGAGGGAGGCGTTAATAAAAGGCTACGTTTTGAAATTGTCTGGTCATTCCAGGCTTAGTGTCTGTCTCATGCAAACTTCGGCTAGTTCACACATCTTCTCTATTCTTGTTTTTCCAACTTTATCATCTTCGTTATGATTTCTGCTATCTTCATCCTTTCATTTTCATGCGAAGCTTCATTCTTCTCCTGTGCGACTTTAAAGAATCGTTTGTAACCTTTCGTGAGAAATGCTCTCATAATTATTACAGAGAAGCATGTAAGTGGCACTGTTCTTCACCATTTTATATTTGTTTTACGTTTTATTCTTGCTTTGGTCGTCACAAGACATTTGGAATTCATCTTCCCTTTCTGCTAGCCGTCACCAATTGAAAACCATTTGTTCTTCTCTTACTTTCGTTTTGTGTTCAGAAGGCTTGGCAATACGTTTCGTTCAAAAGATCAAAAGCTTAGTATGAAGTTGGTTGAATACGAAATTGTTTGTCTGAGTTATCCAAATATATGAAGTTAAGGAAGCCACATTATCTAAACTTTGAGCTATCCGTTTTTCATTCACCAAAGCTTACTTTGATTAAAATCTAAGGCTTCATGCCGACTCTTGTACCAAGGTTTCAATTGTCAATAGATGTTGCTGTAGCCTGTTATGAGAAGCTCGTGATAGCCCTGACGTGAAACTCACGTTCATATTTTTCATTTTCATAGTGCGATTCCAGTGGAACGGTTGTTCTCCGTTCCCTCACGTTACTAAATATCCATTTTCCAACTCCCATTGTTCCATTATGACTATAGATCTCTGCTTGTTTTTGTACTGACTTAACAGTCATTTTTAGCGACAGTTTGAGAACTAAGCGATCCGATCAAACCTTTTTTTGGCTCTATTACTTGTGTGTTCGGTGAAATCACTTACAAAAGAAAAGTGAATCTTCAGAAAAATACTAGTTTCATGTGTCGAATTAACAAGCGGAAGGTCTTCGCTTTTCGTTTCCGGCCAAAAGCAAGATTTGGGGAACTGAATATGTTGTGCGTGCCCGATATGCAGCTTGCAATCTCTGCTACTACATAAGCACATTTTGTATGATCTATCATAGGTTATTACCTAAACGATTAATTTCTCCGAATCAACTGCTACAAATTTGTTGTGTTTAGCCGAGCGCTAATAACGAAATGTAATCTCCTCTTTACGGCCACTGTTGCCATAGTATCAAATAGGGTTCTAGTTATAATAGTGTTATTCGAATCAGTTTCTAACGGACCAATAATCTCTTTTTCGAGGATTCATTTAGTTAGTCTAAGCATTTAGCCTTTCAAAGTGACACGTGTCACGTGTTAAACACGTTACGTCGAAGGACACGACCATTCACTTTATATCAAGGAAACGCTAATGGCGGTTGATCTCTTCGTTTTCCTTTCAATCAGATCTACGCAGGTGCTTCATCATGTAATATTTGTAAATTTGCTTCTTTCATTCTCCGTTCAAGTCATTCCTCATGCTCTTCCTACTAATATTTATCTATGTGTCTGCATAACCTGTTTTACATTCATCCTATCTCTTACGGTTTGTTCGTCATAGTTTTAAATTAAATCTTCACTTTTTGTTTTGATCTTTCCTTATTCAATCTTTTTAACGATATCCGCATTTTCTCCTAGTTTGTCTCCATCTTACGATTTCTTGTCAACTGTCAAGATAGAAACTGTGCACAACTCAATAGCACATTAGATTATGATTATTGACTTGTCTTCTGCTCATATTCTATTTGAGCAAACTATTCGTTTTCTCGCACTTCTCGCAATGCCTCCTTGTATTTTCAGTTCTATCTGAATGACTTTGTGATTTCTTCAGTCTCGAAATAGTTACTTTACATGTTTTCCTTCTCTCTCCTACACAGTAATGATGAAGCTCAGAGTTTGCGATTCATAAATAGAGAGTTTTCATCTTTTTTTTTTCGCAAGTGCATTCTGAGAACTATGACTTAGAACTGGCCTCATTTCATTCTGTACCAGTTGTGATGAAATCTGACTTCTTACATTGGTTTGCCTGGTTTTTTCGAAACTAATTCTTAGTTTCTCTCACTTTCGCCAATCTTGTGAGCGTATTGTTAAAATCGCCGTTCGCCCACTGTATGACATCTAATTTTGATATTTTACTGCTTCATTTACATTACATGTGTTAGACATTGTTGTCCCACACAGTGCACACACTCTTGTCAGCAATTTATTTCGAAAAATCGCTTGAATCACACTTTTTTTCCGATATGTTTGGCCTTGTTGGTTTTTCATATGATTGTAAGCAAATGTTATCAGTATAACTCTCATATTACTTCCTTTTTCTGATTAGTGATGCAAAACTGTTGTTATTTATTTTAATTTATATTTCTTTCAGATGAGTCGATGGTTCGAATACGAATCTGGACATGCCTGGTGCGAGAGTGCTTATAAGTACCAGACCCTGCCCATGGTAGCTGAGTTCGCTAATACGGTTCGTACAATAGTTTACAACTGATGTTAAAACTTATTTACAGGTCACTAACCTACCTATTATTGTTTTACCAATGTTAAATATGATGCTTCTCCGAAAATATTTAAAAGAAGTGAATACAGGCCTCATTTTCCCTCAGCTCTTGTTAACTTTCAATGGATTAGCTTCGACGTATTATCATGCTACTCTCAATCTGTTTGGTAAAGTTTATATTAAAGCTCGATATTAAATTTCATTTTGCAGGACAACTAGTAGATGAGTTATCCTTAGTCTGGATAATCACGGTTTTCCTTGTTGTTTATATCCCTGTTATGAAATGGTTTCCCCAGAAATTCAACCAAAAATTGTAGGTCTTCTTAAGCAGTAAAAGAACATTCAATGTTTACTGATGATTTTTGAACTTTTATTATTTAACCGTTCACAATGATTCTGGCTCGTTTTTTCTCAATATTACTCTTTTCAGAAGTATTTTCCGATGGACTATTGTGGCCATAACCGCCGTATTCTCTGCTCTGTGTTTTCTTGAGCCGTCTCTCAATGCTGTTGCATTGATGCTGTTCTCGGTACCATCGGCTTATGTTATCAAATATGAAGGAGAACAGTATGTTCTTTTCTCCGTGTTCTTGAGAACTCATTCAAAATTTCAGTTGTGGTATACCAGAAATTGGAGGTTTTCCAAAGAGAATTCTGACGTTGTGGGGAACTGCGTTTGGTTTTTGGTTCGCCGATCGACTCATGTGCGATTTGTGGCTGTATATGGGTATACCTACTCAATGTTTGAACTTTTTTGAGCAGTAGTGTTTAGGAACTCCTTATTTACACGCTCTGTTCCACTTATTAGCCGGACTGGCTGGATACACCATTTTCATTATGTTTTCAATGATTGACATTGAGTCAAGGTCTAAGGAACACAGGTATGCAACTGTCTTCTCATGATGTAGGCAGAATTGAATTGCTTCCAGGTACACTGCTGCCATTCGCTACTTTCCTAATAAAGGAGGATCCATCTTATCCTTCCCATATATAAGTTTACGTGAGAGAGCTCTTTAAGTTGTATCGTACTCACGGAACGATTTTATCAATTCGTTTTATCTATGTCAAATCCTCCAGCTTTATGATAACTGTTGAGTAATAGGAATACTTCATGTATGTATGGACATATCCTTTTATATTGTTTTTTTCATGCTCATTATGTCTTTTTGACAATTCAGATTTCTAGTTTCACCCGTATAATCAAAAAATCTATTCCATTCGAAGTTTGTGATATGATCTTGTGAGATAAACTCATGAACATTTTAACTGTTTCATTCAAGCCATTCAGCATTATTCCAAGAACACAATGATAATTGACTGATACTCTAGAGGTTTTCTTCGAAAAAGCACAAGAGTAGAACTTAAAGCTCGTTCCACACTTAACTAGTCAAACGTCTAGTAATCATTCCACCCTGAGATGTCTTTAGGGAACAAATAGAAACACATAGATGATAAACAAGCGGGAACGATTTTTATACCGCAGAATAGTGAGCCAACTAACTCTTCTGCTGGGAATGGAGCAGGACAAAAGCATAAAGCGGAAGAATGACATATCAACATCCAAGTTATAAAACAGTACACACTAACTCTTACCAACAGACATTCCCCCACCTCTACATGGTAATACTTCAGGAACACGCTTAAACTTCATCTTTCTTCTTGTTTTCTTGATATTTTGAACATGCTCAACTCATCATGTACCAGATGGGTTGTTTTATTACATGTTTGTTAATACAATAAATACAAGAACGAATCGTCCCTTTTTCGGGATACAAACACACACATCTCTCCTAAGTATCAGATCGGGCTTGTGAATTGAAAAATGTACGATTTCTCCCAGCGTCATCCTCTTCTTGCTGTAGTAAAAACCACCAATACGGGTTGCAGACCGAATCAGAACCTTCACCGGTACACTCTGTTGTACTGAGACTGAGATCAAGAAAGGAATGACTTACCTCAGAAGTTTGATTCATCAATTCTGTTCGAGTGGTAATCATATGGTCATTGGATACAGCACATACTGCTTCAATGTCTAAAAAGCTTATTCTAAACGGTTTATCTCTGAAACCAAAAAGAATATTCGATGAGAGATTTACTTGAAGTATCTTGGAACTTCTTGATTTCATTCTGTTTTCCATAGATCTGGTAATACCCTTGTCGTTATTCTCATCATTCTTCTTTATAAATGTGTGACCATGTGCTCTTATTAAATGTTTTCATGTGTTTGATTGATTTTTATGATTCTTCGTCTTCATAATTTGTATGTGTTCATAGTAACGAACTAATTTTGGTTGTTTTCAGTTGAGCATGTCTTACTCTCGCTATTTGAAGATGCCCTCTGAGGAGATTGACCATGGGGTGGTAAGATTGGGTAATCCTTACTACCTTCATGTGGAAAAGAAGGGCAAATTTGCTAAGGCTGTCACCACCGTCGTGACTTCCGTCCCAGAAGGAGTTAGGCCAGTGGATTTGTGTGGCCAGCCACAAATTCCAGATGTTCTGTTAACAGACTTTGATCAGTTCATCGTATGGTGCAAAGACGAAGGTCTTCTACCTCTTGGGAGTAACGGAGGTTTTTCGGTGCGACTGATGGCTAAGAAGCTGGACAAGTTGGTATTTGGTGGCCAACGAGTTGAAAAGGTTAATTTTTGACAAACGGATAGTAGTAAATCGTCGATAAGAATGTTGTATGAAAGATATTTTGTTAAGTTTGTCTCCTTCTTGATTCATGAACTAATTCATGTATTTGAATATGTTCGAATGGATTATTTAAAGCGTAAAGCTATAGATGTTAACTGCCTAGGGGGTGAGATGTTAGAGCATGGTGTATTCTTTAATGAAGACATGCGAAGAGTAAATGAAGCAGTTGGCATGCCATTCGTCCTGCCTACATACAGCTTCGATTAGGTGAGCAGTTTTTTTCAAAAGATTGTTGAAAACTTTTTTTTCTAGATCTCTATCAAACTGCCTCAATCTACTCAGTCAAGGCTATTGTTCGTTCTGTAAGGTGAGCAGGAAAGACTTACAGGTTATCTATTGCTTCTCAATTTTAGAGTAAGTAACATTTTTTTTATTAGTTTTTTCATATTTTTCTTGTATACATTATATACGATGAATAAACGTATTGATAAACTAGGTTTTTGTTTTACATGCAAGAGATAAGGGATTTGGCGAGAAATATGGGTGGTTAGTATTAGGTAAGATTATTTGGGTAGATAGTATAAAGTATAATTGAGTGTTTCCAATTCTTGTTTGCTAAACAACGTTACTTAACTTTTTGGAAAATTTTTAGTTCCAGAAAAATTTGATAAAGGCTGAGTGTTCTTAATTGTGATAGATGACAAAAAAATATAGTGTTTCCGAATCATATTTCTAAATTGGTACTTGAGGAAGTTGTGGAGATGTAGGGAGGGCTTCTCGCGGGCACCCCCTTTCCCGTTACGTTATGTTATACGTTGCTCTCATAACTCACTCACAACTCAATCTCAAGAACTAAAACTATCCCTAAAACATTCTAACACACACAGTGGGTCATTCCATATTGGAAACGAGCTGTATGATATGATTATCAAAGAAAAATTGGTCATTTGGTATAAAAAGACATTCAACAGAACATGTTTATCAATACAACAAATAGTTCTTTCAATAATACCTAGTCGCCCTACACATTTCTCCTTCTACTTCATCAACCAAGTAGGCAATGATTTTCTCAGTCTTCATATGTTCTTCTAATCGATCCGAAATTTCATCGTGTTTATAAAGATATCCACCGAACATGAGAAAACAATTGTAATGAACAAAATAAATCCTCAAATCAATTCTCTGTAAAAGATCAATGTCTGTGAAACAAAAAAAGAATGACATACCCCTATAGTTTGATTTGCCATTTCTACGATGGCTGGTATCATTTTGTCACCTCCTTTAGTTACTTCAATATTCATGTACACTAAGTCAAAAGGTTTGTCTCTGAAAACAAAAAATACAGAAAGGATATCGATGTGAGTGTTACTTGATGTATTCCGGAAGATCTTTCCAACAACACATCTGGGCAACACCTCGCACCATTGGTTTCTGTGGTGGTGTGTCTTGATCAGAATAATTTGGCATAACGTTTCTCTCCATCTTTGTGCAATTTGTCGGCCAGTCAATATAAACATTGAATGGATATTTAAAATAGCGATCGGTGAAGTATATTGAACAGGGCCACTTGGGGAAGTGACGTTGAGCATATTGACTGCTCATGATGGAGT